GTCATAACAACTTTGTAATCATCGTGAATAAAATAGAAAGAGCAAGAACCTCCATTGAAGAGTGGATTAGCCGAGCTCCTGAGCCAATGAACTACTATATTTTTACTGTTTGCACCCCGTTAATTTCCTGAATATTTTATCAGTTAACATCATATACGAGCCTCATAGCTCTGATCCACGCTCACCTCACATTACTTTCACCTTAAGCTCTTCCACGTTGGTATACGCCATCAATTATAATTTTGGTAAATTTCTTACATTACTCTTTCTTTTTTTGAATTAGAATGTTATTCTGGACCATAGCGAAACTAGTTGATGGTTAATGAGGGCATTGGGTGTGGATTACAAATGGGTACATCTTGGAACTTTGTTATCTTGCCATTAAATGTTTCTCTTTTCTTAGATTGCAAAAGCATGTAAGAGAGATGTATTCAAGAATTCTAAAAACTAATCCTTAGTGCTATGGTTTGGTTTGACATGGAAAAAGCAAACTTATAAAATTTTCACGCATTTTGATTTGTATTAGAGTGTTATCTTTATTGTCCAAAGGTATCAAATGTCTATGTATATGGCAACTTCATTTCCATTCTAATATGATAATTAAGTTTGAATTTTGTTTTTGTCAATCTTCCAACTTTTCTCTTGTTTAATATGATTTTAAGTTAAATGGTTGAGATGATAATGGTTGTGCTTCATGTCCAACGGAGTACTTGCAAGTATGACTTGCCATTGAGACTAAAGGATTATGCAAGGAGCATGCAAGTAACACCACAGTGGCTTTACACTTGTTTTTTGCTTGTTAGTAGGATGTCAACCATAGTTATAATTTTGTCATTATTATGGTAGATGCAAAGACAAGAGTTTAATTTTTTGAAAAGACACTAGTTTATTCTTTCTTTTTTTTTGGTTGTTGTCGGGGTTGTCTCATTTGCCTTTGGTAGTTCCTCTTTTTGGACGATTCTTGGATAAGATACAATTTTATTTGATAGTTATATTTACAAATCTAATTAGTTGTTTGAATATCAACATGACATTGGATTTTAATTTGTTTAAGATGAGGATTACAAATTTTAATATTTTATTTGTTTTTCAAGTATTTATTTTGTAGAAATTATTGCAAAACAATATATATTACAATCAATATAATCAAATCATAAGTGACGTTAACACCTTTTGTCACTAAAGTTGAGAATTCATCGGATAAATTTAATGGAAAAATAAAAGGCATCACTAAAGTATGCCATGAAGTTTTAGAGACAACTAAAAAGTCGTCACAAAGGTATTAATTTTATGGCCTAAATACAAGATTTATAACTAATTAGTGACGATATGCAAATTGTCACTAAAAATATTAGTGGCAATAGAATATCGTCACTATTACTACAAACTTAAACATTAGTGGCGATTTATTTCACCACAAGATGACTTAGTAATGAATTTAAGTGAATTTCTAAGTGACAAAAAATGACAATTAGTGGTGACAATTTGCATTATCAATGATAATTTATTTTGTCATTAATTGGTATGTGTTAGTGACGATTTTAATATCGTCACCAAAAAAATGAACCATTTGTGGTGAGTTTTCATTCTCGTCACTTTTTACCTTTAGTGACAACTAAAAAGTCATCACAAAGGTATTAATTTTGTGGCCAAAATAAAAGATTTATAACTAATTAGTGACGATATGCAAATTGTTACTAAAAATATTAGTGGCGATAGAATATTGTCAGTAGTGATACAAACATAAACATTAGTAGCGATTTTATTTCACCACAAAATGACTTATTAATGAATTTAAGTGAATTTATAAGTGGCAAAAAATGACTATTAGTGGTGACAATTTACATTATCAGTGACAATTTATTTTGTCATTAATTAGTATGTGTTAGTGACGATTTTAATATCGTCACATAAAAATGAACCATTTGTGGTGAGTTTTCTTGCCCGTCACTTTTTACCTTTAATGACACACTTATAACAACCCAGTGGTGATTTTAGCAATATTTGTGGCGATTTTTCGCGCCACTGAGTGTTTTATTTTTTGTAGTGAATTATATATGATCCGCTAAGAAGGAAATTAAAAAGAAAATGTGTTGAAGGAGATTTTCACTTCATAAAAATATTACACTCCAAATCAGTTTGTTCTGACAAGATATGGTATGGTTAGATATTTTTTATTACCAAAACGGGTTCTCTTTGAAATACGTTATTGTTATATCCTGTCTAGATAAACGATTTGATTTCAGCCACTTCTATTATTCGTACAATAGCACCCAACATTCGTAATTGCCTAGGTACCCCTAAAAACCTACTTAGAAAAGAAAAAGACTCCCCAAACGAGAGTGCTAGATAATATGGAGGGGCTAACTTTATTGGCTTCCTTGTCAAATGTGTCATATCCATTTTCACTTTAACATAACAGGTACAATATCCAAATCAAGAAAAACTTCTTAAAAATTGCTCGAGCCACGTAACCAAATCAATATGCATAATCCCCTAATCAAAGACAAGAAAAAAAATGATTCCACGATTTAGTGAACTTTTTAGCATGGAAACATAGATGGCATCTAAGTAGTTCTATCAATTGTCAACTTTGTTTCGTGGATTAAAAATTATAATTAAACTTCAATAGTTATTTAGAATAGATTATGTCTTAATTGGATCAAAAATATAGACAACAAAATGTATTTATGATAAAAGCTAAAATATAACTCCATTTTTAAAAATAACACATAAAACTTAAACCAACACCGATATGAGTCCAATTGAACAAATAAATCACCCAAATCTTTTCATTATTGTGTGCTTTCTCTATTTTTTTTTTAGGGGGGAGCTTGTTATTCCTCTTTACCTAGGCCTAGTAATTCTAGACACGACTCGTAAAATTGACACGAACCCGACACAGATTTGGTGGGTTTGGGGTGTAGTCTTAACTGGTTCGGGTGGTTAACGGGTTAACTTGGTAGACCTGTGAAATAAACGAACTAATTTTGTGTTTAATCTATAAATTCGTTTTAACTCGTTTAACCTGTTAACACTTGTACAATAAATTTTTAAAAAACAAGTTAGTTCTATCAGCCTCTGTCTCATCTCACACCTCTCAGAATCATAGTTTTAAAACCCGGCCCGAATATCAACCCGGAAGAGGGACTGAGTCAATGGATCACTGATTGAACCGGTAATATAATTAAAAATTTTAAAAAATTATTAATGATAATAAATAGGCTAAAAATTCACAATAATTGTAAAAATAACATGCTTAATGTATATTTGATGAAACAAAAGCCCTAAAATTATCAAACATGAATCCACTTTCTTCTCTATTGTTTTTAGCTTTTTAGTATTTAATTTATTTGTGGTGGAGGGGTTACAAATCATTCTTAATTATGGGAAAATATGAGAAACACACATAAACAGTCATTGAATTGAACCCACATCACGTATGACATACACTTCAAAGCAAAACTTTGCAGCAAACTAAAAATGAAAATCCATCACACAGAATAATTGAGGATCTACCAATTATAATAGATCTACCAATCTAGAGCATGCAACCATTATCCGTGAACTATTAAATCCTTAAACTGGAGTATCCCCACAACGCAGAGTACTTCAGGCTACAAAGAGAAAGGAGAGAAAATGATGTACCTGCTATGTTGTGTGCTATTTCACACTTGAGGGATGCTAGGAAATGGAAATCGGCGATGGAGCTCTAGCCAATGAACCCCTCCTACCTCGACTTCGACGCAGTGCAAAGAAGAGAGAGAGATAGAGACTGAAAGAGAGAAAGCAAGGGAGAAGCAAAGAAAGAGAGAGAAAGAGAGAGAGAGAGAGAGAAGAGACTGAGGACTGGACTGACGAACAATTACAGGAGCAACAAACATAAGGCAATAAATCCAACAAATATTCATAACCCACAAAAAAAAAATACCTACCCACAAATATATACTGAGAGATAGAGAGAGAATAGAGTCAATAGACAGTAGGGAGAGGGAGAAGGGGGGAGGGAACTCACCTCGTCGCTGGTGGAGGTTGTGCTCAGTCGCTGGTGGAGCTCTACTCAGCCGCTGCTGCCTAGTGGTTTGCTCGCTGGTCTAATTGCTATTGGTGCTGAAGTGGAGGCTGGTTTGGTCGCTGGTTGGTGGTGGAGGTATTGCGGGGTTGGTCTGGTAGGTGGTTGGTGGTGGAGGCGTTGCGAGGCTGCTCATCTGGTGGAAGTGGAACGATTTAGGGCAAAACGAAAAGGGGAAAAATGCCCAAATAAATTTTTTTTTTCAGATTTATAGGAAGGAAGTTAAACCGGCCAGTTTGTTAAACTCGTCCGGTTCTCACGGGTTTATCGATTTTTGACCGATTTAACGGGTTTAGTCTAGGTTCCTTACACAAACGGTCTTTTAATTGACCCGGACCGGTTAGGGGGCCAGTTCACTGGGTTGACCCACCGGGCCAGACCGGGTTTTAAAATACTGCTCAGAATCATTCAAATTTAATAGTCATTTAATATTTATTTTTTGTCTTTTAATTTTTTGCTTAGCCATGATTTATTATTATAGTAAATAAGTCAAACGTGTGTAATGTGTGGTGAACTAATAATTTTTCATGTGGACTCAAAATTATCTAACATATTCTCTTATTTAGCAGGTGACATATGAGTTGTATCGTATAACCCGTCTAATAAACGATTCATGTATGAATGTGATAGTTAGACTCGTTTATATAAACGAATATGGTATGGATAAAATTTTTTTTGATACAAACCCGTTCTACCCAACACAAAACCGTTCTACTCGACACGATTGTGAGCCTACCTCTACCTATGTCCCTTTTTAATTTTTCTTATTTCTTAATCCAAAGCCTTTTCCTTTTCATTCTTGTGGATAAGTTTTGGATAAATTTTGGAAGCAGCCAAAATTGTTTCTATTGACCCACCATGTCTTTCCTAGTAGAATGTGGCAAGTCCCTCTCTCTCTCACACACGCGGACCGGCACACGCACACGCACACACACACACACACGCTTTCGCTCACTCACTCACTCTTTTCAACAGTCATTGTGTCCATACCCAACTCAAACACTTGTCGAAGAGTTAAACCCTAGTTCCACTCCTCTCTCTCTCTCCTCTCTTTCTGATTCCTATTTTGAAAACCCTCTCTCTCTCTCTCTGTGAGCGCAGCCACCATCACCATCTGTCTCCGTGCTGTCTACACGCAGAAAACGGCGCCGTTTTTTCTTCACACGCGCTATCTGAGTCTTAGATATTTAATTGAATCTATTCCTCAACTTTTTCTTTAATTGGTTTAACTGAAAGACATATAGAGGGAAGCTGAGTGAGATTGGTGAGAGTTGAATTGGGGATGGCAATGGCAGAGAATGAGGCTACTGGGGATGATCAGAAGGATGTGAGTGGGCCCCCCAAGTCACCCTGGAAGACCGCCACCGCAGCCGATGCTTCTCGGCTGATGGCCGCCGATACTGATTCTTGGCCGGCGCTTTCCGATGCTCAGCGGCCCAAGAACTCCGATGCAGCCACCACCACCACTACTAAGTCGTTGTCGCCGCCGCCGCCGCCGGTGCAAACTGCCAGTGTCAGTCCAATTATTTCCCTTTTCATTGCTGATTATTATAGTTCTTCTGTGTTGTTTGTACACATAGATACGTATGATATGAATAACTTTGTGTGTGTGTGTGTGATGAACTGGAGCCGACGGCAGCTGTCTTCAGAGTGGTTACTCTGTGCTGAAAAAGCTTGAGCTTTGATGATGTGGAGTTGATCGCGGCTGCCTTCATAACGTTTTATACATCTAAACTAAACCTGCTAGATAAAGAAGGCATGGTGTAAAAATGTTGGTAATCACTACTCTGCCAACAAGTGTGATCTTTCTAGGAATGCCTTGGTTTGAGTACTGTATATCGCAGGGTAACATGTGGCATCTAATTGAAACACCAGAATCAGACATTTAAATCCAAGAGATAAACCAATTAGATTATAGGTTTCTTCTTAGCTCCTTTAATCTTCAGGATATACAGGATCATTTGATGATTCAACAATTTTGATCTTACACAAAAAAGGGTATTTCCCAGGTCCCCATTAATTGAGGCTACTTGTAAGGGTGGACCGGCAAATAACTAACCTCTGGGATTATTTGCACAAGGTGGCTACCTGATTTAAGCTGACAATCTGTGAGCCTCACTGCTATTAGCTAGACAATTTTACCACCCCTCCATCCTTTTACCACCCCACCATCAATGTCACTTTAATTCTGGTCATACATATCAAAAGAAATTAATTTACGATATTACCCGATGGCTTCATTCTGTTTCAGGTGCTCAAATTTAGCATTGATATATGACTTGAACTTTTTTAGGGAATAATTGTGCTGCTGCTGCAAGATATTGTTGGTCCTGTAAATGCATATACATTTGTGCCTTGTATCATGAGGAATAATTGTGTTGCTTCTGCACGATTTTGTTGGTCATGTGCCCAGCAACATGCATGCATACATGTGTCCAATGCTAATACATATGTTGATGTCTCGCGACACCTATTTACACACATATATTTACGAGTAACATACTAGGATCAGTGCAAATAACATTAATATATTGGACTGTGTGAAAAAGAGTTAAAGGTAGATGACCTCACATTACATGTAAGAGTTAATAATAAAGGACCTGCAGCATTTTTTATGTACATATATAGATTAATTGTTGCAATTAGTCATACCTTTATTGGCAGTTTGATATCTTATATCTTTCCGTGGTCTTCCAGGGGCCAGCTGAATTGCAAAAACCACATGGGCGTGGTAACCCTAATCCTTCACATAAGCACTCAACATTGCGTCAACAAAAAGCAGGCTCCAAGCGCACCCCGAATGGTGTACCCCCTTTTCCTGTACCCTTACCGTATTATCAACCAACAATTCCTCCTGTTTTTCATGCGATGCCACCTGTGCCGCACATTCCTGTTCCCGGATATGCTTACCGGCCTTCTTCTGGACCATTTCCAAGTGCTGAAACTCACTTAGTGAAGCCTGGTTCTGAAACTCCAATGCAAAATTTTGTTCCCCCAGTAAACTTTAGCGTTCAGCCTCCACCTCGAGGTGATGCCAATGCATACTTTGTCAATTTTTCTAATGGAAGACCAAACGTGCAAGAACCTGGTAGCTATCTCAATCCTCCATGGCATCATCAGCGAGCATTTGCTTCTAAAGGCAACATTCATCCGCAACAGAATATGGGGGCAAGGGCCTTTGTAAGGCCTCCATATTTGGGTCCAGCTCCGGGCTTCATTGGTGGCCCACCTGTTCCTGGTAAGCATTCGGTATTAATTTGGATACTGACGGGCATTTCTTACTGCACATTTGCTGCTGCTCTTTTGTCTTTTTCTTCTATCGTTTGGGGATTTAAATTGTCTTAAATGGCCATCAATGGCACAGGTCCTCCTGGAGCTATATACTATCTTCCTGCTGCACCTCCGGGTTCTATTAGGGTACCTCATCCACCATTCTTTGTTCCACAGCCTCTATATTCTGGGAATCCTGTGCCACCCTCAGAGACATTAGCATTAAGAGCTAGTATTGTAAAGCAAATTGAGTATTATTTCAGGTGAATCTTCTTTGGACGATCTTATTGTTGCTGGTTGTTTTGGCCCCTCTAGATGAAAATTAGAGTTTGGTCCATAATTATGCTATTTGAATTTTGCATGCATCAATAATATGCAAATCCTATTGCTAGCATTTATGCACACTATGACAAAAGGGTGGTGTTTTCATCTCTGGGACAATGAATCTCTGGTTTAATTGGACAGCCTTGAGTGGTAAATTCATAAGTAATAAGGGCTGCCATACTGTTTAAAGGTTCTTTCACACATGAAACTTGTATCTTTACGTACTAGAAGAAAGATGATGGAGCCACTAAGATACACCAATATGTCCATTGGCCTTTTTTATAACAAACAATTGAGATGCTAGGGCTGAAGTTAACTTATTTCCATAATATTCCTTATGGTGTGGTTTAACTGTTGAACTTTCAAACCTTTTTTGACAGTGATGAGAATTTGCGGAGTGATCATTACTTGATTTCCTTGATGAATGACCAAGGTTGGGTTCCGATATCTGTCATTGCTGACTTTAAAAGGGTATGTTCGATAGAATTATGACTTTGTTTGATATTTATGCTACAATGCTATGTACCAAGTATAACTATGTTTTATCAGTCATATGCAAGTACTAAATGTTCTATACCTGCTTGCATTCTGTAGACCTGGTATTTAAATTTGCTTACCTTATCCTTCTTTCTTATGTAGCTTGGTTCAATATACTGACATACTTAGCCGTTCTTCTGTTGTTTGAATAGTGATGTTATAGGCTTATCATTAGTTAATCTCAAATTTTGGTTGAAGGTCAAAAGAATGAGTTCAGACATACCATTTATCCTGGATGCTTTACAGAGTTCAAATACCATTGAAGTGCAGGTTGGATTTTTTTGCTCTATTTTGCATTCCTCCTTCCCCACCCACACCCAGCCCCTCCCCGCCCTGCCAAAACACACAAAGTTATGGCATAGATTTGTGGGTTTTTGCTTTTCTGGATTCTTTCTCAGAAGATGCTTTGATTTTTTGTCCAAATAGCCTTCCCTTCACCTGGGTTGAGTTTTATTTCTATAGGGTGACAAGGTAAGAAGACGTGATGAGTGGTCAAACTGGGCTCCAGCTTCTGCAGAGCACAAATCGTCCTCAGAAACTCTGATTCCACAGGGACAACCTGCAGATAAGCTTATCAGTGCTTTAAAGTCTATTGAGTTGAGTGAAGGTGTTACAAGGTGCACCTCGGAAGGGACTGATGGGTGTCCTTCAAAAAATGAAAGTTCAGTAGAGCACTCATTGCCAGAAACAGAATATCGAAAAGTGTTGGTGAATAGTAATGCAGAGTACAACAGGGATAAGATCCTCTTTGATGGTGGAACTCAAGCATTTATTGGAGGAAATGGCGATCTAAGTATTGGATTGAATTCCGTGTCAAATATCCAGCCTGCAGATCTGGACACTATTGATGGCTCACCTGGTCAAGAATTTTCTCTTGAAACTGAACATGAAAAGTTTGTTGACCATGAAAACCTAAAGGTGTCTTCAAATTTTGCAGAACAGAATCTGGATGACCAATCTCTTGATTTTGCAAGCACATTCATGTTTGATGAAGAGCTGGAACTTGAGCAAAAAACAGTCAAAAAAGATCATCTTTCTTCAGTAAGGAGGTACTGTATTTTTTTCCTTTGTGCTTGATGTATTCTTTGCTCCAATTTTTGAATATTGTGCTTCTCAGTTCCTGGTTTATTGCCTTTGCATTGCTCTCTCAATTGCCTATTCTTACTAGATAGGGGAAGTCCCTTCGTGGTGGCTTCCAACACTTTGAAGATTGACATCGGCTTTTTGTTTGGTCAATGTAGTGTCATATTTTGTTTCATTTACATGGATTTTAATTTTTTTTTTTAAATGTATTTTAGATTCAATGCCAAAGATATCTAAAGTTATAGATACCATGTATCGAGTTTTAAGTAAAGCACCGTGTAAATTTGACTAGTGTTTCATTTTTCTAATTTTAAAATTTTGTGGTCTTTTCCTGGGACAAGAGTTTTTTTTTTTTGAAACAGAAAGCAAGTAACATTGGAAGTGGGTTCGAGCAAAACAAGAAAAGAAAGCAATCTACCATGCACAAATGGAGGAAGGAGCAAACTAAAATCAACCTTACAAAGCCTTAAATTGTTTTTCTCTGTTCAGCTCTATTTGGGATCTTGTGCCAACCCTATCAAGGAAATGATAGTCTGGTCAGAGCATTTGCCAGCTGGATAAAAATTGTTTCATCAATGTTTTGGAACTTCAGAATGACAAATTGTAACTCAACTCAAATGAATATGTTGTTATCCCAATATCTTGGTATTAGCTACATTGATTAGCCTTATTCGATCAGTACTTTATAAAGTCATTTCCTTGTTAAATCCAAGGTAGTTATGACCTTCTCTTCGTATTCTTATCCCACATTCTTCTTGGTCTTGCTTTAGCACCATTGACGATTGTAACTTGCGTGACCACGCATTTCTCCCAAGTGGCAATCATTTGGTTGTTTCCGAACCTCCACCTACTGTGTTGCTACTGGGCCTGAATAGAACTGCTTTTAATTTTGTTGATTTTTAAGTTGTTTGGTTCTCTAATTTGAGCAACCTCTGAAATTAAGAGAATTTTTCAATGCTTAAAACATAGGCTTTATCTGTTGGAGTTTCCTTGAATTTTTCCGCTTCACAGTATCTACTTGTTCACGTTATAGTTTTTCTGCCACATATAATTGTATCAGCTGGCACTAAAGCTTATGATACTCTGGTGAGATTCTGTAATTCTGAGTAATGATGTTCTCAGATCTGTTTATTCTCTCTTTGAGGACAGTTCCTGATTTAAATTGCTTACTGTCACGAGGTTGTTTAGTTATGATTATTTTTAGTTGCTTTGTTAGTAGGACCATCCTTTCCCTTGTGTTGGCTTTCTTGTCTGTACTTTATGTTTTTTTGCAAGAATTGAAGCATTTGCTTTTGCAAATAGGCTATTGATATTAGAATTCTTTTCTGGCAGAAGTTTTCAGTCTTGAGTTGGTTGTAAGATCATTTCTTCAAATCTCATATAATTTGCGCTAAGGGCATATTTGTTGATCTTTTTAATAAAGTTTCCTAATTTAGTTTACTTTAGTTGGCTTACATGATATTAAGGGATCGTCAACAGACAGATTGCAGCATTGATTTAAAGTTTGTGTAATGTTGCTTATAGACTTCACTTATGTAGTAACTTTTGACCCTTGACTGTCTTGTTTGTATCTGAATGGCATTACTGTCTAAAGGATCGATGATGAAGAAAATGAGATGATTGTCAATGATCAGGCTGTTGAGAGACTTGTAATTGTAACCCAGGTTAGGTTGTTGAGCTATCCATATCTTTGTAATTTGGTTTTGTGCAAATTTGGTCTTCAAACTCATGTAATCATTATGGTCTCGGTTGATTTATTCTATTGTCATGTATTTTAAAGCATGCTGTTCTTTGTTATGTGTGTACCGTGTCTGTTCATGTGGTAATTCTATTGTTCTAGGGAACCATAAGAATGTTTGAAAAATGATAATGGTCAAGCACTTAATTTATTTCTTGATTTTTGAGAAAAATATGCTATGATAGATGTTTTTATTACCGAATGACCCATGTTAGAATATATTTGTTTGATCTTTTGTTTGGAGTATTGCTGTATGAAGACTAGTCAAATGCTGCAGTGGATGGTTAGAACATGGAGATTCCAGAGAATTGAGAAGATAAAAGTTTTGGATGCTACAAGGCAGTTGGGTTTTCTTTTACTGTATGGTAACCAGGGAGAGTGCATCTAGAGAATAATTTAAGCCAAAATTCTTCCTTCAAGTGATTAGTTGGTCTAAGAATCTTGAATGAGAGAAAAAAATAATTTATATGTCTATTGGCAAACAAGGTGAATAGTTAATCACGTTAAATAATGATAGCTTGTTGATTTCTCATGAAAAATATAGTCTTCTGGCTGGTTGATTTTATGCCCTTTATGTACTTGTTCTTCCCCTGCTACATCTACTCTTCTGCGCCTGGAGGATGCGGTGGGGCCTTAGCTTCGGCTTCGACGTATGTACAGTGGGGTCCCTTGTAGATAGCTATGTGGTGTTGAGGGGCAATGCTCCCTAGTGGATATGTAGAGTGACCTATCTGCATATTCATTTTCTGTACCAAAAAAAGAAACCAAGGCAATTCATGGTCGATGACTTGGTACTTAGGAAAGTTACTAAAGCCACCACAAATCCAGGAGAAGAAAAATTGGGGGCAATCTGGGAAGGACTTTATTGAGTCATAAAGATAGTAAGATCTGAAACTTATCATTAGAAACTCTGGAAGGAACAACGCTGCCACATCCTTGGAATGAGGAACACTTGAAAAAATTCTACCAGTAGCTCACTAGGATATACACTCCGATGTACTTGCTTCTAATAAAGTTATGTTTTCAATAAAAGATTAAAGTCTTTCTTCAAGATTGGGACTTTCAAGCCTCTCAACTTAGCTCGGATTGGGTCTACTTGACCCAACACAAGCAAGATTGGGATTCTCAACTTAGCTCAGATTGGGTCTACCTACCCCAATAGAAGCAAGATTGAGACTTTCAAGCCACTCAAACTTAGCTCGAATTAGGTTTACTTGACCCAACAGCAGCAAGGTTGGGACTTTTAAGCTCCTCAAAACTATCTCTGAACGAGCCTACTTAGCTCAACAAAAATGAAGATTGTCCAAAATCCATTCTAAAGGACAAATTAAATACTTTAAATCATTTGCATTTGGACCCCTAGCAACAATTGCGATTCTATGTTTATAGACTGGAAGATGATGGGGAAATCACCCCTCCATCCATAGTCAGCCGAGAAGATGTGATTAGGGATTTACAGTTCTATGAGGAATTCTTTTGTTCATTGGCAATTATTCCAGTTTAGGATACCTGAACAAGATCGATTTTGAAATCCCTTACTCCTTTGGCTGCTGAATGTCTTGAAAAGGGAATAGTTTCTGCACTAGCGCTCAAAAACTGTTACTTCTTAATATAATAGCAGTTGTTGAGTTTCCTGCCAAATTACTGCATTAACATGTTTTTCCATACATGAAAAACTGCTTTTCTCAAATCTCAAAGATCTATTCATAGAAATATCTCTCTTTCGCTGCGTGTGTATCAAGTTTGCTTTAGTACACATTTCTTTCTTGTCCCATTGTTGCTTTACTACTTATTGTTTGATTCTTGGACTAGTTCCTAACTTAATTTCCTTATTATTTAAATCTAGTGGGGCTGGTATTTTGATGTTTAATTAAAGCTTCTATCAATGTGGTATTTGTCTATATTTTCTTGTAGTTAATCACTGTACATTTGATGACTTGTGGTTATTTGCTGTTGCAGAATAGCCGGATTGGTGAAGGCACTGGAACTGACGTGAAAGAGTCAAAATCCATATCCCATGAGCTTGCTTCAGCTCTAAATGATGGCCTTTACTTTTATGAGCAGGTTTATAGGCGTGTTCTCATATTAGGAATTTTCGGCCTCATCCTCCATTCATTTTTCAATTACCAAAAATAAGCTTGTTACTGTCAGGAACTAAAAGCAAAGCGGTCTAATCGTAGAAGAAACAACTCAAGCTACGGCAGCAGAGATGGTGAATCAAGATCTTCTGGCATTGCTTCGGCAGTATCAAATGCAAGGACTTCTGATCATTCCATGGGAGGCAGTGGCTGTGAAGGGCCTGGAAATTCTAATTCTCGGAAGAAGCAAAATAAAGGCTTTTCCAAGCAACAATCAGTTCAGAAGCAGCGGTTATTCTTTAGTAACTTTAAAATTCACGGAACTGGTCGTAACTTTCATGACATGATATCTGAGAGTCCACCTAGTAATTCAGTTGGGTTTTTCTTTGGTTCTACACCTCCTGACAATCATGGGTGAGTTGTGAATAACTGATTTCTGTTCTCATTGTTGATCCCTTGGTTCATATAAAGTAATTTTTTTTTTGTTAGCATTTGGAAGTATTTTGTCTTGCTTTGTGGAGCGAAAAATGAACTTTCTAGATCTTAGTTAAGGGTGGGACATCTAAAGTGCTAAACACACTGCTTCTAAGCTGTTTGACTCATTGTGCGGCTCTCTTTTTTGTTAATTCAAATATAAATCGTAACCTTGCAGCCAAAGGTCTTCAAAGTTAAGTGCTTCTCCTCATGGCAATCTTTCTGGCAGTAGTCCACCTGTGGGTTCCATGCCAAAGCCATTTCCACCTTTCCAGCATCCAAGTCATCAACTTCTAGAAGAAAATGGTTTCCGACAGCAGAAGTAAGGGGATTGTCATTTCGTGGGAGTTGGTGTGGGCACATGTGTATGTGTTCATAAGGTTGGCATTTCTTTTAAATTGGCTGACTTTGTTTCTCTTCCATTTTAGGTACCTAAAGTATCAGAAGAGGTGTCTAAGTGAACGAAAGAAGTTGGGTATTGGTTGCAGTGAGGTGTTTCTCTCTCTCTTTCAATTCTCTGAGAATCTTTATTCTTGTAGAAAGGCGTTATGCTTGAGCTTCATAGTTTTTATTGTTTTTGCATCCGGGGAAATATACTTTTGTATGGGATAAATCTTATGCCGTCTTTGCCCTTCTGGGTTGCGAAGATACTCTTTTATTGTATTCCTCTGGCTGGATGAAGAATGCCTCAGCAATTCCACTTTTTTATGTTTGTCATTGGTTATAGTTAACCTCTGAAATTCTGTTTTGATCATACATTACATTCCTTTGTTTTCTTGTTCATTTTATCGGTACACCATAAAGTCAAACACGTTGTTACTTCTCGTGAATGAGATAAATTGGCACTGTGAATGTATGCAAAGCAAAAAGTTCACCTGGTTTTGGCTAATGCCTTGGGCAATATATGTGTGTTTAGTCGCCTTGAATACTGCTTTAATCTTCCAAAATCTTTTGTTTATTTGTATCTGACCACTAGGTGCTTAAAGTTTATTCACCTTGGAACGGTCTTCCCCCTAAATCCAGAGATTTTGTACTTCGTTCACATAAATCATAGTAAACAGTTATTATATTTGTTTATCTTAGTTTTTGTTTTTGTCGTCTTGGTGCTTTTTTTAGTTATCAGTTGTCTGTTTGCTTGTCTGTGCTTCTGGAGGGTTGGATGGGTGCTTATACAACAAAGCAGGCCCAATTGTACATTACATTAAAGATAACTCCTACTATTCTCATAAACAAGAACAACTCTAATATCTAATGATTTTCGAGGAACTCACATGGTTTTATGCTTTGCCAGTGATGTTCTCCACTACGTTCAGATTTTTTTCCCTTTTATTGGCTTAAGTATACATTAGAAGGTCCCCAAAACAGTGGTGTTGCATAACTTTTTGTGGATTAGACATGAAATTGTTTATCTACATACAACTATATGTCTCTCTATAACAGAATACAATACAACTCAACTTAACTCTAGTCTAAATACCTTATCCTAACTATTAAGGTACCTCTCCATGATAGAATCAGCATGTAAACAAATCTCTGCGCAAGCGCCCCCTCCCCAAAAGAGGAGAGTAATAATCACATACTGTGCTTCAATTTTAAATTATGCATGTGTTGTCAAAAAGTTGTCTGTTGGATCTAGTGAATATGAGAGATTCACTATTTCCCGCGGGCACCCAAGCCTCTTTGCTCTTTCACTATGGAACAATCACCTAAAAGAGAAATTCATTGAGCATTGACTTCGAATGTTAGTAGACAAGAACGACGGCAATAATACTTCATCAAGGAAATTGTCCAATTTTGTGTTTGTTCATTGAGTGTACTAGGAGGATTGGACTGAGTGGTAATCTAACCTTTGGCACTAATTGCCCTTGGATTTGAACATCTTAACCTTGTTGTTATAGCCTAGCCTTCGCTTTTACCATGGCACTAGGCAATGACAATTTGCAAAAGCCTAATCTTTTACCATGGCATTAGTCAATGAACATTTGCAACTTGGACAATTTTGCAAGTATATGAATACCTACAAAGTTTGCATGTACAGCATACATTCTTTGCAGGTAGAAGTATCATCTACAGTAGATAATTTGAGAGAGTTGACTAAGATAGTTTGGACATTTGTACTGCATGTCACCATGTCAACATGAAAGTGGCATGATCATTGCAGCTGCTAGGCTTTAGGGGACGGGTTGGGTTCAGATTAATGTGGATGGAACTTGCAAAGAAAAATTATTTCCTGTGTTTTAAGATAGGATATGACCTTAGATAAGGTAGGTTGGCAAAACAGAATTCATCTAAATCCATAGGACTGGTGACGAGGCTTGTGGAGTTTATAATATATTTTTACAACAATCTTACTTTTTGCAAGCTTAATATAGATGTTGTATATTTACGAATTCATGATATATTTGGCATAATTTGTAATTGGCTTAAGCTTATGATCTTAGATAAAGTAGGTTGGCAAAACAGAATTCCTGTAACCTGTCCAAAGCACTGGTGATGAGGCTTGTGGAGTTTATAATATATTTTTCCAACAATCCTACTTTTTACAAGCTTAATATAGATGTTGTATACTTACTTATCAGTAGTATCTTTGGCATGATTTGTAATTCGCTTAGGCAACAAGAAGGATTAAGGTTGTCTAATTTTTTATATGTAAAATTTTTTATACTGTTAGGTTTTGCTACATTAGCTTGTTTTTCATTACTGCATAACAAGAATCAACATTATGTAGTAATCAAGACACTTCAGTAAGGGAAAAAGGATATTACTGTGTTTTGCAGCTACATCCATAGTGGGAGGATCCTTAACATGGAGTGTGTAATATTGTGTGAAGGGTGGAAAAACATCATATTTGCTTAGTGACCCGATTTTGAGTGGTGACTTTGCTTCAAATGCCCCAGGAAGCGTATGGGAACATTTGAATTCAATAGTCATGCAGAAACACCAATTTTATATGTTTCAATGAAAGAACTTGTTGAAGTATTGTGGGTCTTTTGGTCTCTCTCTCTCTCTCTCTCTCTCTCTCACACACACACACACACACACTCACACACAACACTATATCTCTCTCTTCTATATATATACTTGTAACAAATATATAAACACAAATCAATAAAATTATTTATCAAGCTGTCACATACACACATGGACAAACTTGTTTGAACTTGGTTTTGCTTTATGCTTGTATATGTTAAGGAGCTTGCGATGATTTCTCAATGGGTGTACTTATCTCTTTGCATGCAGGAAATGAACACATTGTATAGGTTTTGGTCATATTTTCTGAGAGATGTGTTTGTCCCTTCTATGTATAAAGATTTCCTGAAGTTTGCTCTGGAAGATGCTGCTGCTAATTATATTTATGGTTTAGAATGCCTTTTCAGATTCTATAGGTAATCCTAAGAACATTGTTGCTGCTTTGACCTTGCCTGTTTGGCATTTTTTTTTTTTTGCAATAGTTGGTCCCTTTCATTGGAACTATATTATATAATATGTCATTTTGTATTTGATATTTTTTTCTTACTATAGGTGTTTATTTTCTCTCAAGTCAGTTACTTTCTTGTTTCAGTTATGGTTTGGAGAAGGAATTAAGGGAAGACCTTTATGAAGACTTCGAACGGTTGACTCTTGATTTCTACAACAAGGGCAATCTTTACGGCCTTGAAAAATATTGGTAACTATTTCAGCCGTTTGTAGAGTCTCCTTTTAATTTGAATTTTTTTCTAATAAACATGCTGCTTTAAAATAAATTCCAATCCATGATGGAAAAAAAACGGAAAAGAATTTGACTTAGACTAGTTGATGAGTAATGTGCTAGACATAGTGGAAGGCCGAGTAAATATAGAGAACTTTAGACCATCCATATGCAGACAAACGTGTTAAAAACTCGTAATATATACATTATTCTGCCAGTCTATATGCATTTAAAGTTTTCTTTGACAAAGACAATCTGTATTCAGGCAGTGGATGATAATGTTGTATTAGAAAAGGATTTTGTTAATCTTGAGGCAATGCTGAGATTTCTAGTGGGAGCATGCAAATAAGTGTTGTGAGGTCAGCTTGTACCACTAACTTTATGAATGTGATAGGAAAAAAAAAAGTCATGATAGCTTGCGGTTTAAAACAAAATGTAGCATTTGATATAGTATGATTGAGGAATAGGAGTCATATTGATGACACCAAATAGTTAGGACAAGGTTTTGTTGAGTTGAGTTGAGAAGTTTTCATCTGTGCTCCTCTTGTGATCATAGTTTCAAAAAATAAGAGTTATTTAGATGAAATATGTGTTATGGGCTGTTATAGCTGTCCAATTTGATATCACTCCCATAATGGTCATTATGTGGCAGTTTTTTGGGTGGTCTAGTTAGAAAGGAATAGGGAGAATTTTTTAAGATAAAGAGGAATACATGGAGTTCTTTTGGGAGAGAGTAAATTTTTTGGCTTCCTTTTGGGTGTCAACTGCCAAAGAATTCAAGGATGTGCCTTGTTTTGCTCTTAAATTTGATTGAATCGCAGCATGTAGTTAGATGAGCACTTAGATCCACAATGTTGTATCTTTTGGTTGTATTGTCTCTTGTTTTCTTTATAGGGTGGATTTCTTGTCCGCTACTTTTTATTATTTAATCAAAAGTCTTGTTTCTTATAAAAAAAAATGATAGTAATGAGCCATATTATCTGTTGTGATGGGCCAATTTAGCCCACGAAATTCTGGCAAACAAAGCACCTGAACCACTTTTCACTGATTTTGATTTAGATTTATTCCCACCTATAACTGATTTTGAAAGATTTGACCTAGATCTTGATGATTCTATGTCAAACTTTAAATTGGGATTGACTTGGCTGATCGGACTCATTAATGATGGGCTAAGAAGCATGGACACGGATACTACACGATAACTCACTAAAAAATAGGATACAAACACGTTTAGGACACGTTAAATAAGTATTTGTATGCTTTTTTATATGACTGTAAGTTACTAAATTGGCCCAATAATATATTTTTGATTTGCCTATGATCCATAAATTTAGCTCTTACAACATATTATTTTGATCCAAAAATGTGGCCCAAATACAATTCATTGAGGAAAGTTTATTAGACCAAACAAAAGGCCTAGAAACCTGTGGTTTTTCCGTGGGCTTCTCTTTCTCGCACTCTAAATGATTCTCCACCAGTAAAACATCTCTCTTTTCTATCTTAAAACTTTTGTCAATCATCTCTCTATCTAGGATGTTTGCGACATCTTCTTTGCTTTCTCTCCATCTCTCTTATTCTTCCTCTCCCACTTCTCTTACCTCTTTGTCAGCAATGGAGGTCATGTGTTCTTTGCCTTTTCGACATCGCCAATCTTCTTTGTTCTCGTAACTGTTGTCAACCCTATGGGACATTGATTCATCTTCATCAAACCATATAAATAACCCAAAAGGGTGACTTACTATTTTTGTGACTTATTTTTTGTTATTTATTTGGACGGAATTAGTTTGAGTAGAGTTGAGATTGGCCACACAGGATTGTGTTTGAAGGCATCCCGGTGTGACTAGGTGTGTCTGAGACATGTCCCAAATAAAAATAAAATAAAATAAATTCGGACACTTTAATCGCATGTCCGACACGTGGACATCTA